CCCCAAAACCCCAAAACCCCAAAACCCCTTTTTGAGTAGTAAGATTTGAATATTAAATTGGCATATTGTCTACAAAGTCATCATAAAATTCAGCCTTATGGCTACTTGTAGAGCGACATCAAATCGGATGTAAACACTTTGATTCTGTCTAGAGCTTCAGTAATTTCAGATTTGGAGTTTGAGAGGTTGGTGATTTTGAAGTGGTAGGTTCCTTCTATTTGTCCGAATCCTGATCCAGGAACTATCATGATTCCTGTCTTGTCTAGAATTTCCAGTCAATATCTATTTTAATTAAGACTGAATGTTACTTGAGATCTGGAGATAATCCTTCTTGGTAGGCTAAGTCACAGTAAGATTGATGCAACTTGATTCAAGGAAAAGCATACATGGCTCCTTCAATCTCTTTACATGTGATCCCTTGAATACTGTTTAACTTTTCTGTAATCAAATTTGCTCTGTACTGTAGGCCATGATGAATATATTATTCTTGTGTTTGATAGAGATCAAAGACTTCTTTTGAAAAGGTATTTTTGTAGGAGAATTGATCTATACTTTAAAATTCAAAGTTTACCATTAATCCAACTCTTATATGCTAAGTTATATTTCCTCATGATGCTACTGCTTTAAATTTATACATCGCTAAGTTGACAATACTATCAATATTGTGAAGTTCCAAGAAACCTCCTCTGAAGCCACACTCTCCATGAAGCCCCTTCGATAGTGAATGAAATGAAGCAAGTTCAACATCATTTTCATATGGACTACCAAGCTCTTTAAGAGCTTTTCTGGCTGAACAAAATTCCTTATCAACATAGATATTTCTTTGGTAGACTTCATCAGCCAACACAAAATTTGCTTGCCATGAGTAAACTGAATCACTCTGTTTAAGTCTTCTTGTGCGATAATTTGCTTTGTAGGATTACCTAGGTTAATGACCATCATTGATCTTACGTTGATTCCTTTATCAGTGACTTCAGCATAAGATCTCTCGAGCTCTTCGAAAGACATCCCCCATCCTTTACTTTCATCAAGATAATAAGGAACTTGGGTTCCATCAAACTTGGCAATAAGTGCTGAATATATGGGATATTGTAGAATGGGGATCATTATATTATTATTCTCATCTTCAATGAAGAGGTTTAACATGGATGTGATTCTTTCAGATGCTCCATTAGTAAGAAAGATATTATTCTCGTCTACGTTGACTCCATCTCGCTTTTCGATAAAGGATTTGACTTCTCTCATAATTTATCGACCCCTTGGATGTCTGTATATGCTCCAATTGCTCGATGACTGAAATGGCTTTAATAGTATTCAGCTCTATCTATTGCACCAGATGAGGAAATCATCCGGCTTCTTTGATTTCCACCAATTAAGCATGAAGCTAAAGCTTCTTTATTGAAATTGTCTGACTTTAGGCCAAGATCTTGAGGAATTCCAGCATTTAGGTGAGTAATCTTGCTAAATGAAAATTATACTCCTTGTTTTATCTGTTTTTAAATTGTTACTGCTTTATCAGCGACAGCTTCTAACACAAGATATTCTGTGTAGATGAGAGGGCAAGCAATGGTTGATTCACTAAGATTTTACTGTAAGTTTTATAACCAAAATAAGTTGCCATTTAAACTAAATAAGTTTCAAAAGACGTTTATCCAGCCGGGGTTTTGGGGTTTTGGGGTTTTGGGGGTTTTGGGG